TTGCTTGTAACTTTCAGTAATAGGTTCTTATTGTACCACTATTGAAGAGTTTACCAAGATCTGGTAACTGAAATTCCGTGTCTCGGCAATAATGCTCCGCAATCTATAGATGAGGTTTTATATATTTAAAGTCTAGAAATCGTTTTAGAGGTAACTTTAAAGTTATCTCTCTGTGTTTTAGAATAAGGGTACAATTGTCATGGAATTTCAAAAGGCATTTAGCAAAATGTTTTCTAAAAAGCATACTCTGTTTTTATAACTTGTTTATTTTGACTCCCCCACCCCATTACTGAAATCTAGAAGCTGTTTTGCTCTTGTAGCTCTACCTGCAAGTTTAGTTAATTTATAGCTAGTAAAATTGCAAATAAAGTTTAACAGCTACTTCATATTGAGCAAATAAAGAAAGAGATGAAATTAGAAGGCTTTGGTGATCCACTCATTGAACTAATTTTCTTTAGTGCTAAAAATTACGTGTGAAAAAAGCAGTATTCCATGGGAAAAGTATATTGCATGTGATGTTAGAGCCTTCGCTATTGCTTATGTTAGTGTTATCAGTCATGCACATTCTCTCATACTGCATCTCAGGCTGAAGTTTGTCAGTGATGCCGTTCCCAGGGGGCCATCCCTATGTGTGTCACAGGCGTATCTAATGTATGGCCAGGCTTCTGTCAGAAGGAAATAAATGAAGTCTCAGGAAAATAAGAAAGTGTATATTTGCTTCCACAGCTTGAACTGGAGATTATTCTAGTTATTTCCTATAAGCAGGAAAAGAATGGGGTAGTTCCTTGCAGCCTTAGGAGATGTATTTTGGAGTGGGCCTGCTAAATGCATTTCAGCAGCATGACTTGCTGGAGCCTGCAGCAGTGACAGCCGTGGGGCAGGTCACAGCTGCTTGGAGCACCCTAAATCCCACTTGTCACCTCGAAAACAAGGGCTAAAGTGCTTGCTCCTCAAAGGGGAGGAACCAGTTTGAACAGAACGGTAAGTGAAGACCGCCTGCCTCCTTGCCTGCTAGCAGCACACAGCTAACGTGTTAGCGGTTCAGGCTGGAGATGGGCGGGCGGTGCGGCTGCGGTGCCGCACGGTGACACCAGGTGGTGCTGCAGCCCGGGCAATGGAGCCGTCGGCCGCGGGAGGGGTAGGCGCCTGCTGCCTCTCTGTTCTCTTAGGCCTTTTGTATTAAGTGTGCTATCTGTAGGGATAACAGCGACTGCTTCATAAATATATGCTGTGGCCAGTCTTGTGGGTGGCTTCGCTATGTTCCTCCTGGCTCTCCTCTGGAGGTGACACCGATTTTTGCTCCAGAAATTCTCATTACATGTTCCCTGGGGTGGTATCTTGTGGTGAATTGACTCTCCTTTGCCCTCATGCTAATACGGGAACGGTTGGTGTAGTTTTAAATGTACTATAATTACCCATGGAAGTCCAAATTTTACAGATCCCTGGAAATGGGTAGGTTAATTTCACTTTAGTTATAGAAAATGCTCAAATTCTAGGAGCGGGCAAAGCAGAATCCTTTTTCCTGGGTTCTGGGCTGTTTAAAGAGCATATGTGCTTTAGTGTCTGGCTGGCACTCATTAGTGCCTGTTTGAAGACCTTTCTGTAGGTCTGACTGGAAATGAGATTGGGATGTCAGTCCTCTCGCGGTGTGTTCTTGATAACAGCTGTGCCTTTTTGCTCTTGAAATCTCTGACCTCGCAGGACAGTTTTCAGATGCTGTGGGATCTGTGCTGTGACTCTGTAGGGAGCAGTCCTACAAGTTAACCTGTTCCCCTGGGATACTGAGGAAGTAATCACAGTATGATTTCCTGAGAGATTACCTACACGCTGGTTCACAGCCAGGGATCTATTAAACTAGCAAAATAAACACATAAATTACTAGACTTCTGTTGTGTTCATGACATAAATCAGGTCACAAAAAGTAATGTTTGTGTGATGGAGAAGGTAAAGCAGCAATATTAGACATGGGAGGAGAAAAGAGGGAGTATAGAAAAGGCAGACTTTTCTCACTTTTGGGAATAGAGATTGGAATTGCTCTGCTTCCTTGTGTGATGCCATGTTAAGTTGTAAGTCTGAGCCTCCTTTTAAGTTAATGGAGGCAGGGAGGCTTACAATTAAAGTGCTCAGAATTATCCTTCAAAGAATCCATAGACCATATAGCTAACTTGTGTATTAGTTTTCCAAATTAAGTGTCTAGAGTTGGGAAGTGTGAATAGTGTCTCGTGTTCCCCTTTGGTCTGGTGCAACTGAGGAATTTTTTTTTTTCATTAATTAAATTACTTTACCAGGTGACTAGGTCAGTGAAGGATTAAACTACAGTCAGTTACAACAGAAAGAAACTGCACTGCATTACTCTGATTTCAGTGGAGTTCTCCCTTGGTTTTTAATTGTCAGAAGAATCTGTTCATAAATGGAGGTCTTTGTTATGTAGGTTTGAATCCTCAGCTGAGCCAAGACTAGCTTTCTGGCAGGTAGAATAGTTGCCATCTAGGTCTGCCTTGTGCCAGTTTAATGGAGAACAGAATTTTTGCTTACCTTAAGCCTCTTGATCTAGGTCCTCAAATTCCTCATCAATGTTCGTCTTTCCTTTTTCTAAAAAAAGAACAAAGATAATCTGATTTTTATTACAGGAGATCTTTATGAATTATTCTACCAAGCACTCAGAGGGATGCTAAGCAGCAATCAGAAGTATCTTGAAACAGTTTTGTGAGCTGGGTCCTACTAAATGCATGCATGCATAGCTATAGAAACGGTGTATAAGTCTACAGAGAGGATGAGGGCAGTATAAATCCTTGTGAGTTTATGCTTCTTGTGTTGCGCCAAAACCTTTTTTTGTTCTGCCCTCCATGTGTGCTGCCTACAGCCCAACCTTTTGGAAAGCAGTTGGAAAAAAGCTGCTGCTGTGGGGGCATAAGGTGGACTGATACCTCGGGCCTTCATCCTTCTTGCCCTATGTGGCAGGGGTTGCTCCCTCCTTTGCTATCCTACTCTGTGTTAAAATCTGCTTTTCTATTTGGAAAAGATTAGACTATTGCTAAAAAGCCTTTCTCCAGTGTAATAATAAAAAAAGAGTTATGTTCCCGTAATACAACTTAAATCGGGGAGCTGATTAGAAACTTAGTATTTCACTTTTTGCTGCAGGGTACGTTGACTGCTTTTTTCACTCAGTGGTCTTTTGAACAAGACTGCACTTGGTAAATGGTTCCACATTTGTTCCACTGCTTGAGTATCTTCCACAACTTAATCAAGAAGTATGTAATATTATGTAACTTAATGTTTTTCTTTCAGTATGAAATGTATGTATGATAAATGATTGCTGTTTGTCTTCACAGCAGTTGTGATTAGCTGCTCTGAAATTAAGGGGCTGTGTTTTATTGTTTTGGTACATTTGATACTCCTTACAAAATGTTGATGATGAAAGCTAATACAAAGGGACAGAGCTGACATTAAAGATGGTTTCTTGTTTATTAATAACTACAAACTATATCCATTATATTCTGCATTTGAGTAGCTGCAGCATGAAAGTATTGGTAAAATCAATAAAAAAAAGTAAGTAGTTGATACGTGCCTTCAATGGAAGCCTTAAGAAAAAAAAAATAAAAAAGGAAAATTATTGTTTCATTGAGGTTGGTTGTTTTCAAGTAATTGGAGCAAAACATTAAAAAACTCCCTTATGGCAAAACGAAAACCCAACTTTTTTTTAATTTGGTAGAGATTATCAGACCAGTTATTTGTCTGTAGCCTCCACTTCATTCTCTAGGAGGTAGGGAGCACATGAATGAGATTTGTAAGCAAACAGATGAAGTATGTGACTAGTATGGAAAAAAGCGGTTTATGGAGGGGTGGTGGTTTGCATGGAGTGGGGAAGGGTTTCAAAATAAAATTGGCTACCCCAGTAGGCAAGCTTTGCTCTCAGCTTGCACAAATATTTTCTTGTATCAAAATTCTCTTCAAAATTCCTTCTCTGAGAGTTTTACCTCTTTCAGGGGCAGCTATGCTGTTGTAAAGACCTAGCATTTAAGACAGCAGATAAACAGATGTTCTAGAATCTAGGACAAAAATACAGCTGCTCAACAGCCATGACTTCCAGCTGAGAACATCTGCAGGAGTGGTGAGGTAGCAACTTCTGCTCAGGCTGGGGGGTCTCCCTTATAATTTAAACAGCCTGGAGAGCTGCTGAAATCAGTTGAGTTCGTGTTGCTCTAAGGATTTCTTCTTCACTATCTCTTTGAAGGTTGTGATCCGTGGTTTACAGGTATAGACAGCTGAGATGAAAAGGTATCTGTCAATACAGAGCCATCACTGTTGGAAATGCAAACTGAATACAAGTGATTTCTGTTTTTAAAATGACTGAAAAAATATCAAGTCAAATTTGTTTATTATTTTTCTCTTGCAAAAGTAAAACATTAAGTGTCCTATCTGTGATCAGATCCTGCCAAAATGTCTCTCATAGTTGTTAGTTGTCTCATGACACAGTAGTATATTTGCATAATTGTACAGGTATTATAATAAAAACTCCTGCGCCTTTCTATTCCTTTGCAAACTTAACCTAGTCGTGATTACATCTGGTTCTTATTGTACTGTGTATCTCTGTGGGTGTGAGTATGCACAGAGACACATGCCCTCTTACCTTTTTTGGGCAAGAAAACGTATGGAGTACCCGAAAAAAGATTTACATAGTGGGAAGCCTGTGTGGGAGTACTACAAGCATGAATTTAATAAGCCACGGAGATTTTTCATAGTAATTAAAAATTATTGTTGTTTTAAAGGACAAATGTACTGGTCCTGTAATGTCATGGTTTTAGTTATTGTTTTTTTTTGTACAAATGCTTAATCTGCTGGACTGTACAGATCTCTACTGGGTCAGTATTCTGAAATTTTTAATCCAAATATTTATGCTTCTCTTTAATACCTATTTGTTTATGTATCACAGACTTTGTCTATTATGTGGTTAAAAAGTACTTATTTCTTCATTTGCATAATTGCAAATTAATCTTACTTAGAAAAGCTGTGAGGAATCATTAATTTTTATTGGAGGATTTTCTTCCAGTAACGAACCTCATCACAATACAGGCTACTGATTTTCCCCTGTCTCGTGTTCATTGTAGAAAAGACAGAGCTATTTTTAACATTTACACAGTCTAGATGGATGATTCTTCGTTCTGTGTGGTTTGGAGCTGAATCTGTAGAGCCTTTCATAATTGTATCTTTCTTTTTTTTTCCTGATGGTTTGTTTGAATTTGATCACTGTAGCTGATTCCATGCATTGATAATGAAAGCTTGGGTTGCCTGTTTCTCAGCATAAATTCACCTCAGACTTCTACTTTGACAGTGCTCTGTGTTTCGGTACGCATGAAGATACAGAACTGAAATTGCTTTGCTTTCTTTACAAATGACTCAGAGTGTGCTTGTCCTTCCTTAAAATGTTGCCAGCGTGTGAAGGATTTTCAATGAGCAATGCAATAAGCCGGCATCTGGGAAGGTTTGAGGCTGCACTGGTATAACAGTGTACTGTCACACAGTTGATCAGGGCTGGAGCCAAGTCTCTGTAGCAGCGTAGATCATATTGGTCACATACTGGAAGTTTTGTTTATGTAACTTGATTGCTGTTTAAGCTGCTTAAATAGTATTGCCATAATGTGGAGTGGACTTCCCAGTAGAGGTGAGCATGATTTTTATTACTAAACTTCACTGAATTTCTCTCTGATATGATATTAAGAGTGGATGTTTACATCTTTGGCATTATTTCTGTGTGCATGTTGTTTGTGTTTCAGTTATTCCAGTGGGAAGGTTAAGAAAAATGGCAAGGCATATAATGCATGTTTTTCTTCCTGTCTTATTTCAGTATTTAAAGTAACTCTAAATATGTGGTAAGCTCCCTTTCCTTGCTTGCTGTTTGCAGAGGATATCTTTCCAGTAGGTGACTTTCTATGCATTTTAAATGGTTTTGGAATGTGTCAGTGAAGCTGTATTATTGTTATGGAAAGAAGCTAATTGACAGTGTGACTAAATACCTCTTACCAGAGCTTGCTTTCTGCCGTGTTAAATCTCAAATTATAGTTATAATGATACGTAAAATGCAAGAGCTGTTGGATTCTCCAGATAAACTAAGAAAGTACAGAATGCAATAAACTGCATATGTCTTGCATATGTCTGTCATTGTTAATATTAAAAGTTATGACCTGTCATGCCAGGACAGCTTCCAGTAATTCATTTGCACTGACAACTTGCTTTGAGAAGGGTATAAAATTACTGACGCTTCTCCCTAATCAGTTAAATTTGAGATTTAGTGCAGTAAGTTTTATTTAAGGGAACAGATAGTGTGCTAAAGGTAGCCACAAAGTTCTAGTAGTAAATCTTTAAGCTCGAAAGAAGCATTATCATGAACTAAATAGACTTTGTACTGATGTATTTTTAAAAAAGTCTTTTATTGAGAATTTCACCTATAGCAGAACACACACACACAAAAAATAGTTCAGCTGAGTTACTTATTAAACACATTGGCAGAACAGGAATGCTTAGATTGTGGTGAGACCTGCTATGATTATATTTGCATTTTCTGATAGTAATTTCCTTTATAAAAGGAGGAAAGATGCTAAAAGTATTTATTAAACTGTTTTGCTTGCTTGCTATAGAAATGTCTTTGCTTACTATGTAAAGACTGCTGTGGGTTTTTTTTATGAGGAACTAGGACAGCTCATGCGTTTTCCTGCTAAATATATTTATGAGGCAGCTGTTTTATAGCTTTCAGCTCTAAAGTTATAGATAAGTGTGTATTTGTTTGACAGAAGATTCGAGAATTTCCATTTACTGCCAGTACATGTAAAGCTTGGCTAAGCAGACTGCATCAGGAGCACACACCATTTGTATTAGCCAATCTGTCTTTGCAAGTCCCAGGGCCACTATCTAGCTAGAAGCCACTGTGTGCTTTTGAAAGCATGAAATTAGTTTTATACTGAGCACATGGTTTCTCATTTAGCAGTTCTTTTTATGGTAATGGTCAATTTATGGTTCAGTGCCAGAATTTTGGTGTTCTGTCAAAGCTGATAGCTTCTGCTAAGGTGTTCTTCGGAGATAAAAACCAACCAGACAAACCCCAAAACAACACCTCCCCCACATTCACATCCCCCCCCCAACCCAAAAAACATAACCCAGCAAAAATGCAGTTTGTGGTGGGGATCCTAGGGAGACCCTAATAAAGGAAAATTCTCCCCAGTGACTTAAACTCTTAAACTACTCGTATTTCTGATAGCATTTTGGAGTTACTTTGTTGCAGTTTTTCAGATAACATTTGCAAGCATGTTTGTCATTCATGCCATAAATATTTTAAATTCATTGTCACCTTCTTACACTTCATGGAGTTTTACAACCACTTTGCAATAAGCTTTTTTCGATGACATGGAAAATTACTGTCCGTCAATGCTAATTTGCTTTGTGTGTGTACTTAATGACCAAGGACAAAATACACTCAAAACATGTACATGAAGCACCCCAAACGTTCAGGAGAGATGCTCTTTAGAGAGCAATTTTAGACCACGTTACAAACTTTGCTCTTTCTTTGGAAATCTGTAGAAGTCAAAATCAGTTGTTAGCAACTACTTTTCTAAAACCTTTAATACATATAATTCATAAATTGATGAGCCATCACTTTTTACACTTGATTCATTCTTGGAAGAGGGCATTCTAAAATATGCAAAGTTTCACCTCAACATGGGGAAGAACTTTACGTATAGGGTGACAGAGCACTGGAACAGGCTGCCCAGGGAGCTTGTGGAGTCTCTCTCTCTGGTGGTGGTCAAAACCTGCCTGGACACATTCCTGTGTAACCTGCTTTAGGTGGCCCTGGCTTGGTAGGCAGGGGTTGGACTAGACGATCTCCAGAAGTCCCTTTCAACCCAATGATTGTGTGGTTCTGACTCAGTCAGAACTGTTCCCTCACCAGCAGCTGTCCTTAGTGAAAGACGAACATTGTGCATCATTAGGCTTTGCTTGGGTTACTTTGTCCAGCATGCATCACTCCCTCTTGTACATTAGGTAATTTTAAATTGTGTTGTTTTTAATATAGGCCCCTATAATTCTGACTTGGTCCTACAATAAGGATTTTATTTTATGGTACAAAGTTTGCCTCTTTGCTCAGTTCTGTCTGCAAGGGGTAAAATTTGACTTTGCATTTTGTGTGGAAGATATTGTGAGCTCTGGAACTGGGAATGTTTCTCTCAAGTGCTGAGAAGAGGTTCTGAGAAGCTACTGATAGCGCTTTCCTGGGAAAGAAGAAGCTGCAGGCCATAGCTTCTAGAAGCTTACTTAAGACAGTGTACCAATTTCTTACTATTCCATCATCATGCAGGAGGAAGAGAAGTAGAAGCTATGGTGATTACTGCCCTTCGTCAAAGACACCTAGGTGCAGCAGAGTATCACTTCAACAAAGCTCCATTCTCAAAGCCATGTTGTTCTGGATCATCCTGTAGTCATGAAATAGATGTACACCAAGATGTTTTTTTATACAGTTGTTTTGTTGTTTTTTGTTTTTTTTTTAAAATGCTGTTATTTTAGGACCTTTGAATAATTCTTTTCTTGCTATTCTTCAGTGTGTGTTTAAAGGCTACCAGGCAGAAAATATTGTTACAAACATTTGGAAAACAATGCGTGACATGTCACTACCATGACGCATAAAACTTGTTTTATTCCTTCAAGTGCTTGAGCTAGAATACATTTCCTTGTCCTTTAATTCTTTCTGGGACTCTTTTTATCCATGCTTTTTACTGCTATGAATACAAGCTTGTCACATTTCAAGCAGGCTAGTCCTTTGTTCAAAGATGATGTTGTTTGTAAGGTGCTTTCAGCTTCAAAGATCTTGCATCCTCTTCCCAGTGTCCTTACTGCTGCATATTTCCCCTCCTGCTGTTTCATATTGGTAGGTAAAGTGAGAAGCAAGTTCTCGTGTGCTTGTTACACTGGACAAAACCGCTTCCTGGTAGGGAGCTCTACTGTTTCAAGAGCTATTTCTGAATCAGATTGCCAATTATCACCCAGCACTGCAATTTTAATTTCTTGTCCTTTAGAAAACATCAGTGTTCATGTATGGTGATCTTCTGCAGTGTGAGAGCATTTGGGGATTAGCAGCTTCACTACTGCAAGGTTACTTACAAGGTCATTTTGAATGATGCTGTAAGCTAAGAGGAAAAAATGATTGAGGAAGTGGTATGGGGCTGTGAGCAATTCCATGTTGATCACTTGACTTTGGGACCCAAGTCTAGCCAAGCTCTTTGTGGAAATCTTGAATTTGCCTTATTTAGTGAAGGTCACTGATGATTCCTGCCAGAGGAGGTGAGTAAACTGGGAACTGTAGCTTACTGTGACAGCCCTGTTGAAGCCCTACTGCTGAAGCTGGCGTTCATGTATGTTTTTCCCTGTCTATAGGCCAAAGAGCAAGCAGAGATGTTCTGGAGGTCTCATCCAGAATGCTCAGCCAAGAAATCGTGTCTTTCTTTTCATGTGTTTTCTGTTGGATTCTCAGCAGTGCTCATAACATGACCAAACGAAGGAAGGGCAAATGAACAGAGTAACTTCCTCTTTCATGTGTGCTTTTTGTTCCTTTAAGAGGATATTTTTCTTAATATTTTAATTTTTTCTTTTTGGAAGTGAGGAAAGCAGGGTGCTTTTTGATCTGCATGGGTGCAAGGAGAGTACTTTTATATTGACAACAGCAGTTAGGGCAAAAGAAAGGCTAAATTCCTTAGCCTTGGGCCTATCCTGGAAAAGCTTTTTGTCTGTGACTGAGCACTGAAGGTCTCAGGAGGGGATAAGGAAGTCTTCTTAATGCTCTGTGAACAGAGAAATACAGCTTCTATAAAGGACCAAGATTTTCTAAGTCGCATAGTGTGTCGTGTAGGAGGTACCTGAGGGAAAGGCGAAAGCTCAACGGACAAAACTTTCTGGTAGGCAACTTGTGAAAGTGTCAGATTTTTGACTGGACAAGAATTTGTGGTATGATGCATTTGGTGCATATGTGGTGGCTCTGGATCGTGTCTGATATAACCCCCATAATTATATGAAATAACCCCCATTTTCAAGAAGGGGAAAATGGATGACCCAGGGGACTAAAGGCCAGTCAGTCTCGCCTCTGTGCCTGGCAAAATCTTGTAACAGATTCTCCTGGAAGGCATGCTAAGTCATATGAAAAATCAACAAGGTGCTTGGTGACAGCCATCACTAAGGGGAAATCCTGCCTGACCAATTTGGTAGCCTTCTACGATGGGGCTGCGGAGCTGATGGAAAGGGGAGGAGCAGTTGATGTCATCTACCTGGACTTGTGCAAAGCGTTCAACACTGTCCCACATAACATCCTTGTCTCTAAATTGGAGAGACATCAATTTGATGGATGGACCACTTGGTGAATGAAGAACTGGCTGGATGGCCGCACGCAAAGAGTTGTGGTCAATGGCTCAATGTCCGGCTGGAGACCAGTAATGAGTGGTGTCCCTCAGGGATCAGTGTTGGGACCGGTCTTGTTCAACATCTTTGTTGCTGACATGGACAGTGGGATTGAGTGCGCCCTCAGCAAGTTTGCCGATGACACCAAGCTGTGTGGTTTGGTTGATACGCTGGAGGGAAGGAATGCCATCCAGAGGGACCTCAACATGCTTGTGAGGTGGGCTGATG